GGTAGGTGGTAGCTGTTTAGGAACAATCTTTTTGTTGTGTGTTCAAGTTCAAATTAGAGGGCCCACAAACAGCTCATAAACACTGGTCACAAACTAACCTTCACCTAGGCTATCTATCTTGTCTAAATTTCATAGTTTTGGAAGCTGGTGACATGTGACAAGATGTGAACTTTGCCTGTGACATAGAGGGGGTTGTTTCAGAGATATAAATATAGGCAGAAAATAATTCTAGTGCAATTTTAGAGTAGAACTCCAATAAATCCAAGGTGTGGTTCCAAGAGCATTTGTCCCTAGACCATATAATTAAAACAGAAATTCCCTATGGACAAAAACACTGACATGAGAGCACCATGACCCTTTTGGAGATACTGAATACATGTGTCTTGAAGCCCTCAAGAAGTTTTACAGACACACAAAGCTATTCACCTATACTTTGCTTCTTAAGTTTCTCCTAGAAACTTTTGTCCTACAAGAGAAACAGGGACACTCTACTAGTGTCCCATGAAACCACACTGCCCCCTGTGGCCCAAACCATCTGGGATGAGGACAGTACTCTTCCTCTGTGTTTGGAGCTGGAAACTGTGTGGCCAGCATGGATTACATCAGCAAATATGGCTCCCTTCCAGGACACGGTCCATGTGGCAGGGCTGTCATGTTCCTGATATATCAGACCTGCAGGTCTGAAGACTGTGGCCTTGAGGCAGAGTGGCAGTGGTGTGAGGCTCACTGTGTTTCTCTTCTTCCCTTTGGGACTGAAGCTCTGAATTCCAAGTTGTAGCACTGGCAGGTGATCTCTGTTTCCAAACATCACAGTTTTAGCCTTTCATGGTCTTTTTTCCCCCATCTCCTCCCCACCCTGCAGCCCAAAACATCCTCCACTGCTGCTATCAGCCAAATGCTTCCCTCTTCCTTTGAAGGTCAGCTCTAGCTCATGCCCTGCTCAGCCTGAGCTCCTGCCCCTCCCCAAAGCTCTGCCTTAATTTAGCCTTGGTCCACAGTGGAAGAGGGACTGACTTCTCAGACCTGTCTAAGGCCTTAGGAAGGAAGGAATGTTTTCTACAGAGCCCTAGGAGCTGAGAAGTCACCAGTCATGGCTTTTCCCTTCCTGTTTCTCTGTCAATCCCAATAATGTTAGAGCACTGGGAATGCAGGCCTTTTTATATCCGGGGTCCCTCAAGCTCTGAATGCCTGTGGAATACAGTCAGCCTTCTGATGAAACCGGAAGCATTCCTACAGCACTGAGTTCCAAGCCAAAGAGAATCAAACTTTTTTTCCCCCAAACTGTAGAGTTCCTGAAGCTAGAATTGACAGTGAACTCTGAATACAGCCCCAAGGGCTTGGGCCTTGCCTTGACCTTCTCAGCTACTGTCCCTGGACAGGCCATCTTGTCCTCTGCTCCAGTCTATACCTGGGCACAAGGTCAGGAGCTTTCTTACTCTGGGGGACTCAGGGTAAGCAATTCTGTTGTGTTCAGGATGAAGGATGTTTAAATGAAAATCCCCAGGTGAATGTCTCTCGTCATATAGTTACCACGGCACACTGGTATTCCAGAGGAATATAGTTCCTAGCACCCATGCAAGGCAGCATACAAGTTCCAACTACCTGCAATTACAGTTCTTGGGAACCCAATGCCCTATGGCCCCGTGTTGCATCTAAACTCACAAAGATGTGTGCATATACACACAAATATAAAACTTTTTTGTTTGTTTGTTTGAGACATGTTTCTCTGTGTAACAGTCTTGGCTATCCTGGAACTCTCTCTGTAGACCAGGATGACCTCAAACTCAGAGATCCACCTGCCTTGGCCTCTCGAGTGCTGGGATTAATGGTGTGCCCACAATCACTGCCCAGAAAAGTCTGGTATAAAAACCTACTACCAAAGAGGCTTCCATATTTATACATTCAAAGGAATTTAAATGGAGACACCATATAATGGGCAAGATAATACCCAAATTAGATATCACATGCTACCAAACAAAATACCTAGTACCAGGAGTAGGTTACGTCTTTTTGTATTGTTGGTCGCACACCCTAAATACTGTAGGCTATGCTGTGGTTACTCTTCACAACTTGACAGTGAGACCCTACTGCTGAGGACACCATATATTTATGGTATAGAACATGGAGGATTCTAGCTGGCACTCATTTGGAAGCCTCACCCCTACTGGCTAATATTCATAGAGCTAGAATTGCTATACACACTACTAGAGAAAGGCAATCATCAATCTCAACCAGTTATGAACCCTATGAGCTATAATCATGAACTGCCTGCAAGATAGCCCACTGGTACAATAGTGGTAAGAGTTTTATGGGAATAACCAGCCACTTTTTGATTGGATTTAAGGGCCACTCCATGAGATGGAACTCATACCTGATACTATTGATGAGGCCAAAACCTAAAACTAGATAGATCATGGGCCCATGGGAAAACCTACTACTATTATTCTACAAAATGAAGATAGCAATAAAACAACTCCTAATGACATATTACTATACCTACGTCAGTGTATCACTTAACTCTCACCGGAGCATCTTTTTGCAGTAGATGGTAATAAACACATAGACCCATAACTGGACAATGTGCAGAAAGGGAGATGCCTTGGAGTGCTCAGCCCTGAATGAGATGCCTTTCACATCCTTCCTCTCAAGGCTCAGGGATCCATGAAGAAGAGGGGTGGGACAATTGCAAGAAGTAGAAGCGGTGGATGATGTTCCAGACAAAACAAGGGCAGATGCACAGATGGACTCACACAGGCTGTACCAACACACGCAAGACCAGCACAAGCTCAAGCCAGGCAAAATGCCAGCATGATGAAGGAGGAGTAAGCACAAATCCCAACCCTAGCCAAGAAGTTATTCACAGTGATTGGGGCTGGAAGGAAATCAGTTTTCTTCAGTGGAAGGACAATGAATATATTACCCACACTCCAGGGCAGGCTGCCCCATGCTCAGGAGCAGTTGTTCAACATAAATCAGATTCTACAGTTTTTAGTGTCTTTTCTTTTAAAGAGAGAAAAAGAACATGAAGCTGGGTGTCGAGGCATGGGAGAGGGTCTGAGAGGAGCTGGGGTATGGGAAATGATGTGATAAAAATATATTGTAGAACGACTGGGGAGAGGCTTGTGGTTAAGAGCACCGGTTGCTCTTCCAGAAGGCTGCGGTTTGGTTCCCAACACCAAAATAGTGGCTCACAACCATCTGTAACTTCAGTTCCTTGGGATCCAATGACATCTTCTGACCTCTGCAGGTACTAGGCATGCATGAGGCAAACACACACAGTCACGGGCAAAACACATATATAGAAATAAATAAATAAATCTTTAAAAATATATACTATAGATTATCAAAGAATTAAAAATTTAAAACATCTGTAAACAAGCAAATAAACCACAAGTTTTAAAAAACCAACATAGAACCTTGTCCTTTGTTAGTTGGGTGACTTCAACAGAGTAGCTAGGAGATCCCAGCTCTATTAGCTATGTAAATTTGGGATAGTTACCAAACTTCTCTGTGCTTTGGCCTGGCCATCTACTAAACGGGGATAAGGCTACCTGCACATCTCGCTATGAGGAATAAATGGGGTAATAGAGTGTTGACTGCCTAACATCTGCTTCCCTGTTCTCGCTGGTGGTAGTTCCCTCTCTAGATTGCATCCCCACCTTGGAATGCTCTGGGACCCCAATATGATGTGTGTTCTTGTACCTCCCCAAGCCCTGAAATTGCTGAATTGTTCCTTATTCCTCTAAGCCACTGTCTTATTAAACCCAGGCCACTGTACTTACAACCCTACCGCTTGAGGCATCACCCCTTCACTCCTGTGAAACTCCAATGCTTAGTAATCAGGTAAATGCCATCCTCTTGGAAGCCTTCAGAACTGTTTACCCACAGTTCTGAGTCAAGTGTTTCTTTCACATTTCCTATATTGCGGCCTCCTCTGGGAGGCCTTCGGATCAGTTCCCTATTGTTCCAATTTCTGTGGGTCAATTGTTTGTATTCTGTAAATTGTGACCATCTCTGGGACTGTGAGTTGGGCTCCAATGTCCTGAGCACAGCTGGTGCTGGGGCTTACGCATAAGGTCATAAGGTCCTCGTTGGCTTTTTCACCTGAGTTGATCTTGTGCCCTAGAGGATGAGTTCTGATAGTTACCAGCCAAACTCACCCAGCTTCCTCCTGCCTTCCTGAGTCTTGGGCTGTCCCTTTGAAGAATGGCCATACACCTTTCCTAGACTGCTGAGCCCTCAGGTATATATGTCTGGAAGCACAGTGATGGTACTCAGGAAACTCTCACCCCATTTCCTGGTCTGCCCCTCAGGCGTCTCTCTTTTGTTTGGGTGGTGCTCAGCCCCAATCCCACTGTCATTGTTCTTATTAAGTCAGAGATATGACACCTTTATTAACAATTGGCATAGAGAGTGTGAGTTAAAAAGAGTCCCCTTACTAGTTGGTGGTCATCATCCCAATTTTACTTTTGGTTGCTATGGTGATTCTTTGACAACCCCATCTTGCAGATTATGAATGCTTCATATTTTTCTAAATCTGGCTGCCCTGACAACAAGGACTCCTGGCCAAGGATCCACCCTCTCAAACAGGAAGGAAGGCTGGAGGTGACATTTTTGGCCCCAGCTGTCACAAATGAACCTAATCTTCCTGTGGTGGGTCTCTAGGTCAAGTGTCTCATCTGCTCCTTCCGGGATTTAGGTGTTCAGTCTTCCAGTGATATACCCAGTCAGAAGGCTAAGCTACCTGTTCAGGAAGCCTGCTTGTTTCAAAGTGAAGACGCCTTCCTATTCAGTCCATCTTCTGGTGTCAGAAAAGTTGAACAGAACTGGGTGGCACCCTGTGGCTTTCTGGTTGACTACTGGTCCAATCCACCCCCACACACCCTTAGTCACTATGGAGATGGTTAGCTCAGAGCAGAATTTCTTCCCCATGACGAAGGTACTCTCTTCTCTTTTTTTCCATTTCCCTCCCATTGCCATGAAACCTTCACACAAGTTCATTCCTTTAAAAGTTTATTTCTGATGAATAAAAAAAATAATTTATGTGATTAGATAAATTAATTTATGTGATTAGACATTATGACAAGGGCAGAGCTTCCATTTCTTGTCTTCTGGTGGACATGCTGTTGTTTCCTGATAGGCAGGGAGCTGGCTTCCAGGGATACCAGATAAAACCTAGCTTGCTTCACAGTAAAGCATCAGCTTTCCATGGTATTTACAGACTAACAGAAGGTTTGTCTTCATGCTCAGGGCAATGGAGCACTGGTGTCGGGGATTTGCAGATGATGCCTTTCCAAGCAGAGGTTGCTGGCCCTACGGGAGGGACTCGGTGGAGAGGTGAGACCTGAGCCACCAAGACCTTAGGCTTTCAGGACTCTAGAAACTATTGCCTCTCAGCCCAAAAGCGAACTTTTCCTCTCAATTTCTTGCATTTGCTAAATCTCTTATAAGTATGTCCTCTTGGGTCACAGAGTGCTCATTTCCTCTAGGAGTCTGAGCAGAGCACACAATCTGTACTGGGATTTTAAGCCTTAAATCCAGAAGCGCTGCTGTAGCCCAGAACTGCAGAGTTCAGGGTGATTTTGGGGACCACTTGCTAAGAGAGGAAAGAAGGGGAGCAGAGAACATGGCTTACTGCCTCCACCCTGGTTCCTTCATGAGGTTTTGGTTCTGGAGTCACTTAGGAGGGGGGAATAAATACATTCCTTTAGGTGGTGGTATATTTTGTTATACTTTGCCTTGCACTTACTAGGCATTCTAACACGAAGCTACATCCACTAGCCCTTGATTTTCTGAGACAGGATCCTGCTACCCAGCCTAGGCTGGCCTTAAACTTGTGGTCTTCCTGCCTCCATCTCCCAAGTCCTAGGATCGTAAGTGTATGCCACCACACCTGGCTATACTGTTTTCAACAAATCAAGGGATGGTTTCAGTTGCCCACACTCTCACCAGTTGGTAGAGTACACAGAAGACAAGCAGATGAGTCTAACGAGGAGTTTAGGGGGTTTTCTGGATTAGCAGTATACGCCAGCAGATCTGCCAGTGGCTTAGCCCTGAAAGCCTGTGCACAGATGGAAGCCTGAGCAGCTGCCTCTGAAAACCACAATGACAACTGGCAGACTGGCTAGGTCTTAAGATCTGTTTATGATGACTTTCAAGGTCATCCCCAACTGGCCAGTGGAAGAGCTATCTAGGGCTTTCTGACCAAACATGGCTTTTGCATCCTGATCCAAAGTCTTCTGAAAACCAGAAGCAAGCTAGATGCAATTCCCCAGCCACCAGGCACATCCCTCTTTTGAGCATCAAAAAATGGAAATTCTGGACAGAAAGATCAGTCTAAGGATTCAACACCCAATATCATCTTCCCTCCCAGTATAAAAGTAGGAGAGAACTCATTTGCATACCTAGCCCCGCCCCACTTGAAGAGGAATACATTTCATGCTCTAGGCCTTGGGTCACTTTGCCTTTAAACTATTCCAAAATGCAATTCACTGCATCTGCATTCTTTCTCCCTTAGAGCCAGATGTCCCCTCAGTGCCTTGGGGATACCAGCTTCATTTATTAAGTAACGCCAATAATCTAGCATTTTGTCCATTTTATGAAATGAGGAGAGACCCAGACAGCCACGAGGGCATTCACATATGTGGATACAGCATGGGCAAGCAAGGGACAAGTGAGGCATAGGACCATGGCAGGTGATGCCTGGGAACCACTCCCTGCATGGTTCCTAGCAGCACACTGCTCCAGACAGGAGGGCAGAGCCCCCTGTTCTGAAACTCTCCTCACGGCTGGATAGGACAGCCCTTCGTTTCTCATTTGTTAAGAGATTTTTCTCTGCTATTCACTTCTGTGAAGGCTTTTAACAATTCTGGGGCAAGGACAGAGAACTCACAGTCTGTCCCTGCCCTGTCCCTGGAACGTCCAATGTGACCGGTGGAAGGAAGGGTGAGGATCAGCTGTCTGGAGTGTACCCTACAGGATAGAGAGTGAGCTGGCTGCAGGAGGGCCTCCTGTCCTACTACGCTGAGGTCACTGTCACATCTTGACCATGAACTTTTGGGTCTGACTTAATAGTTTTGGAAAGCACCCAGCAGAGGCATGAAGAAAAACAAACACTCCAAGACAGTGAGCAAGACCATCTGTTTTCCTACGAGCACCCAGGGCTCCCGAGCACCCTTCCTCTGTTGGATTTGATGCCTGCACACCCAAATTCCCTCCAGATGCAGCCTCCATTTGCTTTCCATTCACTCCACACTTTGTATATCCTTCTACCTGTCTGAAAAGAATTTCCATGTGAGGCACTTATAGGTCTCTGTACATCTGGAAAGCTGTCAGAATTCAATTATATTTTAAAACTGCGGCACAGAAGACTCACAGGCAAGGTTGAAGGTCAACTCTTCTTTTCTTTTGGACTAGAGTACCAGTATTTCCTCTTTGGTAGAAATCTGGTACTGGTACCACAATGTGGTACTGGCATCATATCATTAAGGGAGGGGAAAGCCTGCCTTCAGCAGCCACGAGTCTTGAAAACCATATGCTTCTATTCCCATTTTCTTCCTCGCTTGGAGACAGGGTCTCTTGTAGCCAAGGCTTGCCTCTAACTTAATACACAGTTAAGGATAATTGCGAACTTCTGATTTTCCTGCCTTCATCTCCCCCGTGCCGGGACTACTGACATGCAGCGCCATACTAAGCTTATGTAATGCTAGTAATGGAACCCAGTGCTTTGTGCAAGCCAGCCAGGCAAGCACTACCGGCTGAGCTACAGCCCCTGCATGCCCCTACTAACTCATAATTTCCCTTCATGAAGTCACTGAAATCTGCTGGTGCTTGGTATTAGGCCCTTGGCCATAGGCTAGTCATCCTTTATCCATCTTAGATAGAGGCTCAGATCAAATGTAAACTCAGGGATCTAGAATGTTCTTTCCAGAAGAGGGCCCTGGAAAGGGAAGGCAAGAGGGGAAGAAATCTGAAGCGTGGAAGCACCCAAATGATGTACTGTGAAAACACCCACGTGACAATGAGCAGTCCTCTCACACAGGTCCATGTTGACTAGAGGGTACATTCGATTTGGGGACTATTAAGATACAGGGTGGGAAATACCCTCCTGGGATAGAAGACTGGTGAAAGTTCTAAACAGCTTTCCATCTTAAACTTGGACCCTCCTAAGAGCACAGAAGTTGATAATGGGGCTTGAAGATGGGGGGGGGGGCCCTCATGCCCGCCTAAGTTCCACCTGACTCTCCTTCCAGGGCACTGAGACCCATCAGGGGCACAGTTTGTGTGTGTTCATTTGCGTGAACTGAAACAGCCTTGCAGAGTAAGGAGCCCAGGATTTTATTCTGGCCCCTGCCCACCTAACCCTGACCACTTTCCACAACTCTGCCCTTTGGATTGCGGAGAGAAAAAAAAATAAAATAACTTCATTTTTCTGGGCCACAAGAATACAAGATGGGTGTAGATTGTACAAGGAGCTTACACACTGAGGCAAGAAAAGCGTGCAAACGGGACTGGGGTCCTTCACCCCTGTGGGCGAATCAGTGCTCCAAACTGACAAGGACCTCTGTGACTGCAGGCCCCAGAGTCCACCTGGGAGTGTTTTCTGGCTTTACTAACAGCGTCCAACTCCAGCTTCCGTCCTCTCTAGAGAGAGAATATCTGTGTCCACGATACTGATGATTCCTGTGAGCCGTTGTTGTTGTTTTTATTTTTTGCCTAGTGTGATGTCACAGAAGCCTTGGAGCAGTCTTGGAGGACCAAGACTAAGGTGTGTCTGAGAACGACATAATACTGACTTCTCTCTTTTTGGTAACAGTCCATGAAATGTGCGCCCCTCTCTCCTGAGACGAGGCACGAGGGAACTGGAGGAGCTGTGGGTAGGACACTGTACCGTGTGAGATCATGATCATGCAGCCAATGGTAACAGGACTGAGAAGTGACAAAGACTCCAGGTGGAGGGCCAGCAGTTTCCAGGAAGTGCCTGGCTCTTGGGAACACTGCTCTGTCCAGTTCTTGGGGGGGGGGGGGCACCACCTCCTGGGGCTCACCATCGTGGGCGGGTATTAGCCCTCATCTTCCCTCAGCTCGGTGGGTAGGAATTTATACTGCTGCTGGCGGATCTGGGCCAGCTTCTTCCTGGCTTCCTCCAGCTCTCGTTCTTTCTTTAGCATTTCTTCCTGGGCTGCAATGATCTGGAAGGAAACAACAGGAGGATGGATCTGAAGCTTTGGTGGAGGCCTCTATCTTTCACAGACCCTCCAATGATGGATGCAAAGGAATATTCTTTGGAAAAAAGCCATTTATTTATTTGTGTGTGTTGAGGGTATGTGTGTGTGCCAAAGCACACATGTAGAGGTCAGAGGACAATGTGCAGAAGTCATTTCTCTATGTCCATCATGTGAGTCCTGGGGATTGAACTCAGGTCTCCAGGCCTGGCAGCAAGTGTCTTTACCATACAAGCATCTCTACTTGCTGAGCCACAATACTGGCCAGGAACAGCATTCTTAGCTCTGAGAACCAGTCTACACCACAACTTGGTTTTGAGATCAATGACCCAGCTGATCAGAGAAAACAAGCTGACTTCTGGGTAGGGACTGAGCAGCAAATATCTCCTGCATCCACACCAGGCCTGGTGTCTGTCCTTGACTTAGATTGTCCCATGGCGTTTGTGTGAAAGTCCTGTGTGTACAATGAGGGTCTGAGGCTCAGAGGGGTGGGCCACTGCAGTGACTCAGGTGGTAGAGAAGGATGAGCTTAGGTGTGCAGGGAGCTAGTTTTTTAACATGGGATTTGGGGAGCAAACTCAGGTCTTCATGCATACAAGGCAAACACTTTACCCACTGAGCCATCTCCTTAGCTCCCTTGTGTATATTTTAGATAATTCCCAGGTGATTTATAAGACTGAATGTAGTATGAACACCATGCACGTAGTTGCTAAACTGTATTGTTTAAAGAATGCCTAGAAAAACAGCCTGTCTGTGTTCTGCATAACTGCATTTTTCCTGAATATTTTCAAGCCACTGCTGGTTGAATCCAAGGATGGGAAAGTTGTGGACAGACACAGAGGACAGAATGCATGCAGTACATGCCTCCAAGGTCAAAATCTGAGGAGTACTAGTTAGCTAGGACAGTGGGGCTAGGGTAAGTTTGTGTTCAAAAAAGCTAAATAAGTTCCCTTTAGTGGACCCTTCCAGAATGTTCACTATGCCAAGTTCATTGACCACGGTGGTGGGGGAGGGGTACTAGGCACAGTAGCATTTCCCAGATTTAACTGATCAGGGACCCTTTCATGTGAAACCTCTAAAGGAACAAGTCACTAAAAAACACTTTCTGGAAACAACAACATGGTGCACAGATAAAACCTGGTGTATTTCAGGAGAGTCCAGGCAGGCTTGGAGAATGCCTGATGCTGCTAAGAACAACAGCCCCATGTAACAGATATATCTTAACACATCCAAAAACTGCAGGCCTGGCTTCCTGGCATTTCCTCTTTACTTCCACACATGAGAGCATGGTCCTGCCTAAGGTAACCCTGAGTCTTCTCATAGCAGTTTTGAGAGAAAGCAGGGTCCATTCTGTCTGTGGAGGGACTGCCAGGAAGGCAGTCCCAAAGACATCCTGCTGTACTCTAGGCTAGTCTGTTCCTTTCTTTCTCTATAACAGAATACCTGAGTTTTAGCTAAGTGCATGACCACCTAGAAAAGACCTCCACATTTCCCATCCTCCTGTGTGACTATATGCTGACCAACAGTATGGGAGAAGAAGTGAGATTTGTAAATTCCAGAGCTTGCTCTTCTCTCTCCTACTGATGGATGGGACACTGAAGTTGGTAATGAAGCCATTTTGGACCCAGTTGCCAGGGGCAACATCTAGGGAGGTAGGATAAGGTGCAGTCTGGGTCTCAAACCTTGCAGAAACATCACACTTTTCCTGAATGGCTTCTACCCAGTTATATTAAGAAGAGATGCCCTTGCCTTCTGTTTAAGGCACTGTTTTGTTGGGTATCTGTTATAATATAACCCTCGACTTGGCAGCTACATCTTATGGTGTGTGTGTTTAGCCACTCACCTGAGCAATGCCTCCCACAAACTTTGTTTTTACGACGACATCATCATCGTCAGCTTTGCCGAATGCTGCCTTCTGGGCTGCACGGACAAGATTGTCTGAGGCTCTTTTCACAGCATTTCCTGCTGCCTAGAGAGGGAATAAGACACACAGGACATCATTGGCAGCAGCACATGGGCCTGGCAAGAATAGACATGAAGTTCATGAGATCAAATTATAACAAAGAATCTTTCTGGAGCCAGCAAGTACCTGTCATCTATCTACACATCAACTCCTCCAGCACTGACACCCACCTAACTACAGATCTTTCAGAGATGAACTGAGATATAGTTCTTGGCTACCCAAAAGAACACTTTTTTTTTTAATGCTTGTGTGTGTTTATGTGGGGAGCATGTGTGTGGCTATGGAAGCCAGAGAACAACCTCAGGAATGTTACCTACTTCCTCTGACACAGGGTCTCTCAGTGGTCTGAAGCTTACCAATTAGGTTAGACTGGCTCATTGGTGAGCCCTGGGGATGCTTTTGTTTCTGCCTTTCCAGCATTGTAATTACAAACATACGTCACCACACTCTGCTTTCTTATGTGGGCTCTGGGGATCAAGCTCAGGGCCTCATACTTAACAAAGTGAATGCTTTATTGACTGAGCTATTTCTCTGGCCTGAGCACATGCTTTTGATGGGGAATGATGATCACACAACAAGTGGCATATGCTTGTAATAGAAGTACACTCAGGGGCTGATCCCAGTCTAGAAAACCACTTTCCCCCGTGGCCCTAACTTCACATGTGTTTGAAGTCTTGGTCCAGATGCCATAATTTCCTGCACACCATGGCACTGCCCACATTCCTTTATCAATATCCTCAGGCATTCTGTGATGACTTTGTTACTGCCCTTACCATCCTTGGGACAACTCTATTCTGGGCAGCAACAACTTGAGGGCAGTGGCAATTATTAATAATTAATCTCTTCGCACTCTCGGAACCTGCTACGGAGGCAGAATCGGAATTGGGATTCACTGAAGGGTCCCTGAGGGAATGGAGGACTGTGAATGTACAAGTCAGGGAGCATCCACTCTTGTGTGGGGGTTGAGTCTTGTAAGCAATGGGACTTTCTGGATTCACTTTAAGTCACAGCTAGACTTTATGCTTTATGAACAGGATGAAGAGACTGCTGGAGACAGATCTAGGAAAGTCTGTCAACAGAAGTCTATCCTTTTAGTACAGACTCCTGCCCATTCTAGTTCACTCTTTTGTGTATGTGTGTGTACACAGGCTGAACTCATGCTAGGCAAGCACTCTGCAGGACAGCCATGTCCCTAACCCTGGACCCCAGGTCTCTAACTTAAGTGGTTTCCTCAGAGCACCTCCCATATGTAGCAGTCTCACATTCAAGAGAAAATAAGGATTTGAAAAATCATAGGAGACTTTTGGGTCTGTAAGAAGCCATCTGGACTCTCTGCTCTTTGTGATTTTATTCATGGTGTATATATCAGATACTTTAAGCAATACAAACGATCTATATAATACCACTTATCACAGTAAAATTCTAGAAAGCCGGAAACAAATACAATGTCTGAAGCATGGGGGAAACTGGCATAATCAGCTGATGCAAAACCATGCAATCACTAAATAATGAGACCCATGAAGGACGGAGTCTCCGCCTCAAGGAAAAATGTGCATGATGACATGTATGCAACAAGGAAGCAGATGCGTCTTGCTATGGCCATGACCAGACACAATCATCTCATGTAGATGACAAGAGGAACAGAAAACAAACATTTGGTGCATGGGGGCACTGAGGCAATGCAATTTTTTTCTCATTCAGATCTTCCCTTCATTGTGTTTAAAACACTTTTTATTTGAAATTCCATATATGTATGTAGTAGTCTGAAGACACTTGTGGGAGTCAGTTCTCACCTCCCGCCATGTAGATTCTGGGGATGGAACTTGGGTCATCAGGCTTGGCAGCAAGCACCTTGACTCACTGAGCCATCTATAAAGACCCTCAATTTTATAATTAAAACAATGAGAACATTGTATATGTATGTTGAAGAACCTAATTGTTTTAAACATACTCTCTAAGCTCTGGGAAGGAAACCTTAGCAACTTCCTTAAATCCCCTCTGGGCTTTCTCTGCCTGCTTGAGGAAACACTACCCGAGGGCCTCCTCTTAATCAGGTGCCATGATGAAGATGGGGTACCTGAGATGCTCACAGCTGTGACACAGAAAAATAAAGGCAGAGGTGCCATGGGATAGGAACCATAGAGTGGCCAGGCCAGGGGCTCTCTCAGGACACAGGAGGGAGTCATTGGAAGAGTTTTCCAAAAGAGGTGACTCTAAGTTCAGTCACAGAAGATGAGCAGTTTGCTGGATTGGGCTGGCGAGAAGCCAGACCATTCCAGGTGAGTGACGGCCCACAGGCACCAGCCCAGAAGGCCCCGGTGCTATGTGGATGTGGTGGGCAGTGGTTGTGGGATGCACGGATGCAGATGGCAGAGGATGAGACTGGAGAGAGACAGAGCTGGATGATGGAAAGCCTTGGTGGGTCATGCCAAGGAAGTGAGACGGTCCCCTTTGGCGACACTTACCCGCTCCAACAGGAGTATTTTCCCACCAGCATCAGTGACCATTACCTGTAGCCGCTTCATGGCCTCTGAATCCTGGTCGGCCTTCACCTTGCAGGCCACCAGCAGCTGAGCGGTCGAAGCCGCAACCTGCTTAGCAGATGAGATGAGCTTTTCCTCGCTGGCATGTCCCTGAACAGAGGCATTGGCTGCCTCACAGAGACTGCTGGTTGCTGCCGCCACCATCCGGGCCTGAGAACAGTCAACAGAGAAGTGACCCAGGGCCCAAACCTCCCATGGGGGAATCCACAAAGCAAATAAAAAGGAAGGAGAAGGCGACTCACTGCAGAGATCAGTCCCTGCGACCACTGTCCATCGTCAGCAGCATTGGCAGGGATGGAGCCCACCTGTTGAATAGGGGAGGGAAGTCTGCCATGAGCAAAATGACCTGCAGTCACCACAAAACCTCCCATGCCCTGCAACTGGACATACAGCACTGTCTGGTCACCTTCACCAATAGCACCGACCTCGGGATGGCCCAATCATTCCTCTCATGGGACCCCAGCCACATATCCATTGGGTTAGCATCTGTTGGCCAGTATGTGTTGATCATGGTTGCCACGTGAGCTCAAAGATGTTCTGTAGTACGTAAGGCTAAGATTTCTTTATTCAGATAAACACTAGCCCAAAGGCAAGCCAGAGCGAGCCCACAGATCGCAAGCTAGCCTGGCCAGAGAGAAGGGGCTTTCCACATTCGCTCTGCTCTTTTTGAACCTCCTTCAACGTCATCTCAGACTTCCCCTCATCCCGCCCTCACGGGCGTGTTCCGGCACACCTGGGGCGGGACTAGAGTCTCCCTACAAGTATGGACTAGCCTCATATACACAAAGGACAGTGCTCCAAATGGCTCCCCATTGGCTGCTGGACAGCACATTTCAAGGAAATGATGGTTTGGGACTATCTTTGACACTGACTTGCTCTGTTACCTTCCCTGTGTTAACAAACACTAAGGCCTCCTCCTTCAAGGATCAAGGGCAATTTAAATCTCTCCTGCTCACACCCTGAGAGCCACGGTTTGAGATTCTGGGAGAGACTATGTTAAAAGGGTGATATATCTCCCTCTACACAAACGAGGGCAGACCCTTGTCTTAAGGAACAAGAGGCTAGAGGGAAGAATCCTATCTCTGTTTCTGCTTAGAAATCACAGCAAATGAGAGGCCTGCCATCCAGACCTACAAGTTATTGCTGCCAGAGATGAGAGATGAGTACTTCAGTTTGAAAACAAAATCGGATCCATCAGCAACTACAGATCCCTCCTGAGTATCAGGCAAAACCCTAAGACCCTCATATAATTCTATAGCTCCTCCAAGATCAGCTGAACATCCTTTCACAACTTTTTAAATGGCTGAACAAACATAGTGCCATGGAGGACAGGAAACCTACTGCATCCAAGATAGCTTCTCTGCACACAGCAAGCTGCTTCATACTCTCAGTCTATCTTTTACTATGGCTGAAGGAAGCTGAATACATCTGTGTCTCTAGAGGTTGTCCAATCAACAAGAACTTGATGAAAATGCATGGCAAGATGAGTGAAAGGCAGGACCAGTTCACATCCCTGGGTAGGAAGATGCATACCCAATGATCTTGAGTGACATACCACGTGCTGGTTTAGAAAGATGAGCAAGCATGTACTTTAGACTAAGATGCAAACAACTTGCTAGTAGAAGACAAACAGCCACTGGTCAGGCAGAGCTCTTTGTCTATACTCTAAGACTCGACCCAGCTCTTGGCATACAAACAACAAAAGCCTCATAACATGCACACAAGTGACTGAATCATTCTCAGATCTACAACCCAACAGGTTTCTGGAATGCCTCTGTATTTGGGAGACTCTCAGCAAGACCCGGTCTGGATAGGACAGCCCCATGTATGGGAACAATATGAGACATGATGTATTTAAATGTTGAAACACAGTGATGCTGTTATGCCAGTGCAGGTAGGCTGGATTAATGGCAATGACACGGACTGAGGGGATCTCAGATTCAAGTCTAGACTGGCCTTGTGGGCCACAGGCTCAGCAAGGCACTAACTGCTAAGTTGACCAGTATTCACTCGATGGTGCTAAAACCAGGTGGAGGCATCTGGAGTTGGGAAGTGGGATTACAGAGCTCCTGACTATGGCACTTACCAGGCTGTTCACCAGGAAATGCTGACAGTTTAGACAGCCTAATGTACAGTGGGACTATAAGTGTCTCTTTCAGGCCCCGATCATTGCCTGGAGTGGGATGTTTTCCCTAACAAGAAGCAGATGAGAGGCCTAGGAGCCAAAGCATTCACTCAGCTGGTGGAATTTAAGCACAGTTTTCAGTGGAGGGAAAAAGATGGGTAACCCAGCAAAAGGATCCCAACATGAATTTCCTTTCTCAAGCCAAACATTCTCCCCTATTGCTCAGTGACTCTCCCTCCATAATGCTCTATGGCTTGCCCAGCCAGGTTTACTCACCTTGCCTTGGGCCACCAGCTCTCTCTGGGCTGCTGAGGCTGATTTGACCAGGGCACTTGTGGCAGCAGCAATGGATTTAGCGGCTTCTAAGATCTGTTCTTCAAAATCCAGGGTCTCATCTGCTTGCTATAACGAAAAGAAAACCAAGTCACATGCAATATACAGCCACAAGGGGCTCTTTCTGCCAAACTACTTACTGCTTGATCACCTGGCTCTTCGGGTGCCTATTGCTTTTTGTTGACAAGCCACACCCAAGGTAGGGAGGCCTCTCCATCTGCTGCCTCCCCTCCCCTTCCACTAGAAAGTGAAAGCTGTTAGTGGTGACATTCTATACACGTTCTAAATCAGAAAAGTCTGAGATGAACTCCTTTTCCAGACAGTCTTTAAAATTCATTGTGAGACACTCAGAAGGTTCCAGAAATATCAATAACCCAGCTCAAAGTAATCAATTATCAAAGTCAAAAGAATGAGGGGTGACATATTTGGCCAGAACCTCAAGCTCAAAAAGGGTTTTGGAAATAAGGGAAGACGGTTTTTAGTGCTAAAAAGTACAATTTTGCTTGAGTAAAAACAAAGTCAGGATTGACATTTCTGCGGCTGAGTTACAGGGCCACCACATCATACTTGAGAGTCAAAGAGAAAACAAGTTTGTTTCAGGGTGGTGCTCGCTCAAGCAGGGCTCCACTTCAGGAAGAGCCCTGGACACACTGTGCAGATTTCAGGGACCAGGGGCAGATCTTAATTCACCACTGCCACATCTTCTGATGTCAAAACCACCCAGGAAGCTGGGAAGGTATTTTGGGAGAAATCAGGCAGATATAAAGATGGTTGTCTCTGGCTGGGTAGGGTGGAGTACACCGTTTGGGGTCGCAGAACGGAGGACCTGTGAAGTCTATTGGGTTAGCATTCTGTATGACTCTAGGTCAGTTTGGTTTGACTGTCCTTGGTTCATAAACTGTTGAAGATGTGGCTGATACCTCTAGGCATTAGGAGACAAAGGTCAGATGCAGCAATGCTTCTCTTTGTACGTATACTGAAATCACAGTCAAATTTATCCTACAGCAATCTTGTGTACACAGTTCAGTGGCATGAAGTGTATTCACAATGTGGAGTAACAGCAAGACATTTCTGAGGACCTACTGTCTGGCCAACAATTTACGGAAATGAACTTTATATTTTTATGGTGAGAAAAATCTAGGTTTCAATGAGGTGACTGGGTACTGAGAGCTACATACCAGCCATGGGATACTCAGTGGTGTAAGAGAAATCAGACAGTGTGGCTTCAAGGTGGAACATGACAGGCCTAAGGCCATGTGGTAGCATGAAGAATCTGAAGCAGAATCTAAACCTACATCTCTCTGAATTCAGAATTGTGCATGGCGGCCACATTATGTGACCCCTGGGGGCACCACAGAAACATGACTTTGTCCTAGATATTTACACTCAGCCTGAAAATGGGCTCTTTGATGCTTTAGACAGGATAGATACTGCTATTCCCTCTTCCCCCACCTTTCTCTGTGTGCATACGTGTGTTTGTGTGTCAGGCAGAAAGCCACCTTGGGAGTCATTGGCCTGGGACTTGTCAGTTTGGCTAGGCTGGCCAGAAAGTGCCAAGAACCTTTTCTCCTTTTCTCTACTTTCTCAATGCTGGGTTACAAGTATGTGCCACTGTGCCTGGCTTGTGTGTGTGTGTGTGTGTGTGTGTGATCTGGGGATTGAATTCTGGTCTGCATGCTTGCACAGCAAGTATTTTACTGACTGAGCCATCTCTTTGATCTCTAACTCCCTACTCTTGATATCTATGTTTTTAGCCTTGAAAATTATTAATTATGATTATTTTTGCAACTCATACAATCAAAGTAAAAGCTGAATGCATCCTTCACTGGATGTGAAGGATGAGAGCAGCATGCTTTCAGTTTCCAGAGAGAACTGGTGCACATGTCTCTTATTTCTGAAAGAAGTCTTGCTCAAAAAGTATTCCAGATAGAGAATGACTCAGTTTCATGGGCTCATTCTGGGGTTAGGAGGGTCTAGGACTTGTTTACTGCAATATAAAAATGACTCATTACAAGACACTGGCATAGGCCCCAAATATATAACCTCAGGTTTATATAGAGACACAGAAATACACATGAATATATATGTTACATATATTCATTCAATGACCTGGAGATTTTCTGGAAATTCCTTCTGCAAAAGAAAGTGAAGCATATAACAGATTAAGCCAACTGGGGAATCACTGAAGGGGGCACTTTCCTCATTTTGCTGATGAGGAAATGGAAGCCTGTGGTAGCTCCCCAAACCTCCCAGACTCTTGGCTCAAGTGGCCTCAAAGCCCGAGCTCACATGACAGCAGAAGAGTGACCATCATCGAATTCTGACTTAAGCCTCATGAAAACGGAATTCCCTTGTAACTCAAGGCCAAGCCTTCCCACACAAGAATCTTGGTACTATTGATTGGAAGACCCCTTCCCCTATCCTAGAGGTCTGTATTTTAATTAAATACAACACACACTTAAATATCTAACTTGGAAGTAATTTTGGCACCCAGAGAGTTTTCTACAATGGCAACCATTTAAATTCTTTTTTCCCCTTTACTTTTCTTTCTATCACATCTCTGGATTTGAACACAGACACAACACACGATCTTATCTTCCGGAACTCCAGCTTAGATATGAAGAGCTCCCCCAAGAAAGGTGGATGCTCGGATGCTCTGGCCTGGGCGGAGTCCCTTAGTGAGCCCTGGGTCAGCATCTCCGTCTAAGCCAAGGTTATCACTGGGAGGAAACACCCACTGTGAACCACATGAACCAGCCATCCTCTAGCATCAGTGGGATCTCCCACAGAGGGCAGACCTGTCCACAGTGCAGCACTGGCCTGTGGTTTGCTTGCCTACTCTGGTGCCTGGAAGGATGGAGACTTGAAGTGGGGAGAGTAGGACAGTAAAAAGGGAAGGAGAACACAGCCTTTGGTCACATGGTTAAAAGTGGAGAAAGGATTGCTCTCTGAAGGGCTACCCTATATAAAAAGAATCACAACCTGTATGTAAGGTATGGTTTGAGAACAGCCTGCCTCAGAAATGGGAGAGGAGAGAGCAGTAGTGTGGAGAACAGCCTGGAATACCAGCAAAGACTCTGCAAGGCAGGCACCATGATTGCTTAGGCCTGCTTCCCTCACACAAAGCTCTCATTCCTATCTCCTCTACAGGAAGGCTGAGGGGTCACTTTTCTATTTATTTGTTTTATCTGGTTTTTCAAGATAGGGTTTCTCTGTGTAGCCCTGGCTGTCCTAGAACTCACTCTGTAGGCCAGGCTGGCCTTGAACTCAGAGATTATCCTGCCTCTGCCTCCCAAGTATTGGGATTAAAGGCGTGCATTACCATGGTGGGCCACTTTCCTCTTTAGTTGAGACCATTTGCTCACTGACCCAGGACAGATAGACCTGTCTCATTCTTTGGAAAATTGAAGAGTATGAGACACTTACTCCTGAGTTATTTCCCCCAACACTGGATCACAAAAATCTTTTATGATTGTTAAAAGTCGTCCCTTGAAGAGCATGATTGGGGTTGGTGAGATGGCTACCAGAACTTGCTTCCAAGCCTGACAACCTGTGTTAGATCCCTGGAAACTATATGGGGCAAGAGGAAACAACTCCTTAAAGCGGTGGTACACTTCCAGAACTGACTGAACAAATTTAATTAAAAATAAAGAGCACGAATGATCTCATGCACACGGCTGCTTCTATTTCTTTATGGTTACTGCATGAAGGGAAGGCAATGACCTTGAGAAGCCACAGGCTCACCAGAGAGCCCTTCTGCAGAGTTACCCACAGACTTGGTTGAAGATGCAGACTGGGCCTCAGTAGGTCTAGGTGAGGCTCATATTTTTAAGAGAGGTGTTTAGCAACCACTCTGTGGGAAGCACAGGACAGTTACTCCATTCACCAGCCTGTGATCTGCTTAAGGCTTTATTCAGTTTATGCTTCTCTTGTACAAAACCAGGCAGGAGAGCACATGTGACACATGGCAGTTGAACGACTCAATGCCCTTGTTCAAAAGAAGCCCTGCAAGTTCCAGAGTTCAGCCAGGACACAATAACGGAAGTGAGGGCTAGGGATGTAGCTCAGTACATGCCTAGCATGTACAAGCCCTTGGCTCGATCCCCAGTATTGCATAAACTGGATGTGGTGATGTACCCTTGTAATCCTAGCATTCGGGAGGTGGAGGCAGAAGGATCAGAAGTTCAAGGTCATTCTCAGCTACATAGAGAATTAGAGGCCAGTCTGGGCCAGTTTCTGACATTCAGCCATATGCACACAGACATCTGTAAACATGGCATTTTCTCAAGAAGCCCTCTTACTTAGATTGGCTCTGTGAAGATGGTCGGCACGTAGAAAGTAGTGCCTAATGAAGTTGGTCACTGACTCTCAATCATGTCCCTTTCTCTGGTCTCCTCTGCTGGAAAGACCACTGGCTGGGTCACCACCAGCTCCTAGTTCTGTATCTTCTGGGTAGTCTGGCTGTCTGTAGCTGAAGATGGGGCTGTCCTCACCTGGGTTGTTTGATAGCTTCAAGAGAGGTCTGAGCACCCTTCAGTGGCATTTTCCTGTTGCTGGCTATCTGCAGGGACCACCATTTATAGTCAAGAGAACTGCTGGGCTGGGCTGCACTTAGGGCTGGTTCCTTGCCAGTCCACTTCCCATGCTCAGAAGTGAACTTGAGACCCTGAACTCTGCTCTGATACATTTCAAACTTCAGAAGTTCGAATCCCATTGGATGAGGAAAGAGGAAAACTGTGGAAAGAGTAGTCTTTTCCCTTTATATATTATGTTTTGGTCTTTTGGGAATCTCATTCTTATTTTTGCAGTAACTCATTCTTCATTCCCTCCTGCCCAGCAGTCAGGACTGCTGGAGTAAATAATTCATCTATATGAAATATGAACAATTCACAGTAGATACTCAAGAATGACTGACACCTAAGTTCATTATTTCTACTCTTCCATGCCCCTTGTACTGGGGCTGAACCTAGAGTCTTGCACACGTGAGGCAAACACTCCGTGCTCCATCTCCAGGCTCTTCATACTTTAGAAATTGCTTATTAGGCTAAATCTTGAGATGAAGCGAGTCT